GGCTGCCCAGCTCTCTGCCCTCTGAGGGCACTGCCAGCTGCTGGCTGCACAGTGCCCAGCCCCTGCTGCCCCGCTGTAAAGCAGCCCCAGCTCTGGGCATCAAACTGCAGCATCCTCGGGCGGAGAGACTCTTTCTGTGTTGAAATTTAGGAAATGTTTTCTGTAGAGCTGCCTGCAGCCAGCCTCTGTGATGGAAGCAGGAGTGTTTCATGGCTGAACAGCTTTCTAATGCCCCGTGTCTAAAGCTACAGTGTGCTTTAGCCATTTTACATTCCTGCAGAAGAGAATGAAATGAGAGACTGAGAATTACTTCTGATTAAAAGCCAAACGCTAATACAGAAGTCCAGAAGACCCTTCCTGTTAATGTAATGGATAAAGGTGTTATGTTGGGGTTCACAATCAGTGTCTGTCATTCTCTGGCATTTCACAAGGTGAGACAAACTGTTGTCCCATTCATTAGGCTGTAGTCAGTCTACTTAAAATAGCATGTTTATTCCAGGTTCTGTAGGACATTCAGTGAGGTATCAAAAGGGTCAGTCAGACACTGCTCCAAACAAAGAGCTCTGCTGCAGCCTGGCCAGCAGCACAGCCAAGCAGGGACAAAGCAGCAGCAGCTGCAGGAACCTGGCTGCATCCACCCTGCTGCAACAGGCAGGAACCTCCCCAGGCCCCTGCTGCTGAACCCCAGCAGCCACAGCCACCCCCGAGCAGATCTGTGATGTTCTCAGGTAAGGATGAACATTCCCAGCTGCTCTTACTGCAACCACAGCCAGTGCTTGGCACTGCTTCAGGTTTATTTCAAAACCACATGCAGCCTATCATAGAGGAGACCTTCTGCAAGCCAGCTGGGTTCCCTTTTAAACAAATAATCCCCTCATGTTAGCCCTTCCTTCTCCTGTGCTGCTCCCCTGGAAGCTTCCCTGTGTGCCAAGATTATTTTCCGCCCCTGAAGAGTGCAAGGTATTTTTGTTGAAGCAGAAGTCTGCAGCCTGGAGCTGGGCTAACAAACAGCAGCCTCTTGCACAGGGTTCCTTGTTTCTTTCTTGCTCATTACAGCCGATGCACTTTCTTGCCAGAGAAGTATTTCTTAGAGAAAGGAGAACGCTTGGCAAACACCAAAACCGTCGGGGTCCCGGCCTTTACAAAATACCTGCAAAGATCAAAAGGAGTCCTTGGCTTCCTTGTAGCTGGCCCAGTGTCCTGCAAAGCGAGTGACTCCTGCCAGCTCCATACAGACTGACCCTCCAAAGGCTGGAGATGAGATTCTGTGCTGATTAGCAGAGCCTCTCGGAGCCAGGGCTAAGCGCATCTGAGGAGAAGTGTTTTATGAATCAACTCCTCTCCCAACAGCTTCTTTTAATTAAGGCAGCTGTTATTCTCCCTCTGGAAGGAGGGCTCTTTTGCAGCTGCCCTTACAGCCTGGAATCTGAGGGCCTTTGGGCACTGCTGAGTTTTATGGGGTGACAGAGATCCCGCTCCCACTGCGACAGACCGAGCCCCCCGCGCTGAGCAGCAGCTCCAGCCAGCTATGAGATGCTGCAGCTCAATGGCACAGGCTGCACAGGAACTTTGTGGCTTCACAAACAGCAAATTCTTCTCTCTCAATAGCAGCCCAACTCCTGAAAGGCAGTTTCAGAGCAGAAGAGTGCTGCGTGCTGCGCCGGGGGCTGCTCGCGCAGCAGTGTGAACAGCGAGAGCATTGTTAACCTTCAACATGCTCTTTACAGGCTACTGCCTGTTTTCCTTCTTCTTTGTTTTTTTGTTGTTTTTTTTTTTTTTTTAAGTAGTATTGTGTAGATGGGATCTGGAATAGCTCTTCTATGCTGCTCAGCTGTGCCCAGCTCCCTTTCCTATCTCCATCCATGCCTGGAAAGAGTTGTTCATTTTTTGGGGGAAAACACATGTAAGTTGCTAAAGCCAGGCACAAGATTCATACCTTTAAGAGGCAGGACTATTAAGTCAGAGAAGAGTTAGGATTATTTAAGAACAAACTGGACTTAAAGCTCATACTTTTTGCCTTTTTTCCCCCGGACATGGACAGGTACAGCCTCACCTTTCATGCTGCAGCACTTGTAGCAATGTGTGCTCTGGGTTCACCTCATACATTTCTTCTCTT